ACCGACTTCACACAATTCGAACCTTGGGTGTTCTAGCTATGTACTCTAGGCTACATAGGTTGTGTGCCACTCAAATTAACGCCTTTGTCATGTACCGTTTTCTTGGGGAGTTTTTTTTATATAATATAAGTTAATAAAACTTCGTGCATTGCTGGCTATAATTAGCTAAGAGTGTTTAAGCAAAAGATGGAGTCTCGAAAATATTTACCTCGTGTTTTCTTTTTTATCTTAAAACAATCATTATGCTTGTCTCAGGGGAATTCAAGGGAATAACAAAATAATTTTTAAAGCATAATTTTTTTTCTGGGCGTACATATTGAATGCATGAATAGCAATAATATAACACCCTATACTGTGCTGACAATGGAGTATAATTTACTTGTAATGTAACTTTATTTGTTGCAACATTCGCTGATTTCAAAAATATAACACCAGAAAGTTTTAACTAGCGCCTACAACCTTCTTTACACATGTTACAAACGTGGTTCAGAATTCCGCGACAACTTTTATTTTTTTATTCAAATCTTGGGTTTAGTTATTGCATATCACTTACCATTAGCGACAAAGACTGAGTCAATTCTAATATTATATTACCATTGAGATTCCTAGGTGTCCCTATAGTTGCAAGTATATTATGCTAGCAGTGTTAATATCCCAATCTTAACTTGTTTAATCTTGTTATACCAAAAGAACGAGGTCATCTAAAGAAGACACGGCCATTTTAGTGACCAATGTAGCTATAATAGCTTATCTAAGCTTTGTGGATCGTATTCCGTGATTGATGTAAAACCGATATGGGAAGATATTTCCTCTAATATGAGTGCATGTTTTTGGCTGTGATTTTTTAAATTGTTTGGCGAGGTATGATCCATGAAATGAGTCACAACTTAGAGCATTCAAGAGTTAGATGCCTTGAACTTGAACACTGAACAGAGGCGGATGATCTTTCTTCTGTAATTGCTGTTGTCAAGGCCTTAATTTGTTATGACGGTGAACCGATTCGGATACGCGAAATATTGCAGTATGCATATTACAAAAATCTTCTTAGGTCATGTCAACTTTTTACACGGATTGCTTTTTTTTCTAATAAGTATAATTTTGTTTTTTTGATTCGTGACACAGTCTTGTTTTCCGATTTTTAAAAATCTGCTTGGGAAAATCTACGGTACGTTCTTATCACAAGTCTGAGGAATGTAATCTTTAGTATAGCATAATAAACGAAACATGAAATTGTTGCGCGGTGCAAATGCAGCCATGTTAACAACCACACAACTAATCAAAATATAAAGGCTGTTTCAATTGCGATACAGCCTTAAGGTATATTAATTTTTTTTAATTCCTCTTCCTAACTTGTGTATGTTTCAAGCTAATATGCAGTTAGCATAGTTGAATGAAAAAAACTGGATCCGCCCCTTGTTGAATTGAGTTGATCTTGATCGAATTATGCTGCGATTTACGTGCGATTTTCTTCTTTTGATAGATGTGAACGAGCATTAAGTTACGAATGCTCAGATGTTTAAGAGGTCGTATTTGAACATCGCTAACTAATTCACTCGTTCACATCTATCAAAAGAAGCACATAATATCGCAATAAAATTTCAAGTAAACGGGCCTTAAAATGATTTCTCCAGCACATACAATACATTTCGTGACATGCAGAATAAGCTGACGACAGATTATCTCAAAGGGGGTAAATAAACTAAATCGGGCTTAAAATAGAATAAAATTTCTCCGCAAAATATCCTTTAAATAGTTTCAAGTGTATTTGTCTGCACAGGATATGAAAAGTATTTGTGCTGTGGTGCTTTTTACTTGAATTCGGAATTGTGCTCTTACACTCATATTCTCCCCAAACCGAAGTTAATTCTTCCGTTGATCAAAGTTAATTGAATTTTATACTGGCCCTCCTGACAGATCCAAATTACTATACCGACACTCTCAGAATCATATTGCAAAGAGTTGCACGCCATCCTTCAACAAAAGCGCTATAGCAATAAGCTCCTATAAATGATATATTCAATAATTCAGAAATGTCGCCAAATTTTTGCGTCATGTTCCACTTTGCGAATGATGGCACGAATCCATACTAGATCCTATTACTTTGCACGAGAACATAGCGATGAGGTAAAACATCATCTTCACTGCTTGAAATATGTCTCAATTGTCTAAACGTTTGTAATAATACTTATCAGTTTTTCAAACTTTTAAATTATTTCACCAAACAATTGGAATATTTGTCCATTTCGATAATGAATTGTTCTCGCCCACTTAACTATAGTAGTTTTGTATAAATATACAAGTACTAGCTATAACTTCGTTTCTCGTCTTTCAAGCCTCGAGCAAACTTGGCTAAGCACATAACATCCGGTTCTTCCAATATATCTGTCGTTAGTTTTGTAATTAGACTTGAGAACTTCTGTCATCTTTCCAATTTAGGATATTTTGTCTTTCATCAGCCTGTTTTCCACCACCGACTTGCACGGAAGAAAACCAAACTTTACAGGCACACCACACTGCCTGCATTTATGAGATAATCATAATAATCATTTATTCAAAGAGGTTAAAACTGAATCTATAAGTTTTTAGAGAAAAAAATTCAATCTTGTATTACAAAGAAGTTACTTTCATGTGACTTGCATCAATAAAATTTCTTGCATCAAATGTATCAGTTAATAATTCTTCTCTGTACATTATTCAACTGAATCTATAAAATTTCTCATCAACTCCCGATTTATTTCTTGAAGTATAGATAGCATTGATTCAATATCCTTTAACTTATTGCGATGACTGATGATTGTTACCTCTTGGTGCTTTTAAGCGCTTACAGCAAGAACGGATAAGTATGGATTACCATGGTTTTTAAGTGAAGTTTTGCATTTGTGAACATATTTTTAAGAATGATTTTTTTCGGATGAATTTTTCCACGCATCTTCTAAAGCAATGCCGGTAGTAATTACCATTCATTTATTCGTGAACAGACATAGAAAGAAACTCTTTACCACTAACGGGGAGATTCAAAAACCAACAGATTGCTTTCTTACTGCGGAATTACGTATCACTAACAGCACGATGTTATCAGCAAGTCCATAATCGGCAATACGTTTATAAATTTATATTTTCATTTTACACACAGTTTGCCCTATGCAGACGTTCAAAGACTATTAGTTTGTTGGAGTTCAATAAATCAACTAGCAAATCAACAACCTGTTAGCAAGTTGTGAATGCAAGTTGCAAATTTGCATGTGGTAGCTAATTGGATAACAACAGTTTATAGCAACTAACTCGCATTTCCGAAGAGATATGATCCCCGACCTTTTCATGCAGTCATTTGAGTGGAGAGCATGTGAATTATTGAATTAGTCAACAATTGGGCAAGGTTAATCGAGGTTAGTTTGCGAAGCACAGAATTGACCTTTTTCATCACGTTTGATAAAGGAATTTCTGTAGTTGAGAAATCTTTGCCATGACCCTCTTAAAAATAAATGTAATTATGCCAGGATAAGTAAGACAAGATGTTGTGGATAACTCTGAATGAGTAACACTCGAATATTTATGCTCTGAAGAGGCTTTATTGTAAACAACGAACTCTTAGCTATTTTTTCAGGGGGATTAATGGGTTTGTTCTTGGCCTCATATCTTTAATGTGTTATGAGTTTGGACCCATGCCTTTTCACTGTTGTTAATTTACCCGTCATATTGATGAAGTAACTTGGCCAAACGAATATGGGGTTACACAGGATCCTGCCGACGGATAATTCATTGCGGGGAGCTGATGATTCCCTCGACAATTTATTGACTTCCGCTCCCTTCTAAAGTCATAACTTATTTAAACCTCAAGACATCCACGGAGACAACATTAAAACGAAAATTTTTGTTTGATCCTTAAAGATCAGTTTTTTTTAGCTCGAATAAAGTTAGTGGCACGCAAAATCTGGAAACGCTTTGCATTTTTTAATGTGTGACACTCCCGAGACCCAAGGATTTATATAGCACGTTCCTGACTGATTAAGAATTTATAATTCACTCCACTTATTGAACGTGCCCATTTGCTTAACCGAGCATATTGATCTTGCGTGCAGTCCCAGATTTCATTTGTCCTGGATTTAGATAATGTCTTTCGTTGTACAAAGGGGATGCCTAGCTATGTGGTGTCAGACAGTGACGTCAAAGTTTGGTTACTTACTTAACAATCCTCCTTTTGCATGGAAAAGTTTTTAAAACATAAACTATTCTGTTTGTGAGGTCTGTACTGTGAAATATCAGACCGCCGAGGCCAGACCAAACAAACGAGGTCAATAATCGGTTTATTATATGGCTGAACTGCGTGAGACATCCGGGATACTGGTCCAGATAAGGAATATACGGACCTCTCGTCAACCAGTCAGAATAGAGGATTTTGAAAAGCCATATCATAAATAGCCATATTATAGCTACGGATATCCCAGATAACATAGAATCATAATCATATTTTATAAGAACTTATTTAAAACAAGGCTGTCTCATAGTTACTACTACTCCTGGAAGGGCAGATTAAAATATAGAGCATCAAAAAATCTAGGCTGCAATATTTAACCACCTGCACGGAGACTCCATTAATTTGTATTGGACTTTGTTGATCTGATTTACGACTGCCGTTCAAATGAGTGAGAGAAGCACATTGAACTTAATTATGCACCTGAGCGTCTCTTTGTCTGTGACCTTGAACATGCAATTTCAAATTCCAGTGTCAGTTGCATTAAGATCCTGCATACCATCGAAAACGTATTCTGATTACTACTGGGATGCACAATAAATGTGACCTGATTTTAGCACACTGTTTAACGTAAATAATATTACAAGATCTTGGCGTAAATAATATTACAAGATCTTGGCGTAAATAATATTACAAGATCTTGGCGTAAATAATATTACAAGATCTTGGCGTAAATAATATTACAAGATCTTGGCGTAAATAATATTACAAGATCTTGGTCATTTTTAATGGAACTCGTATGTTTTAGGTTTGGTTTCAAAACCGACGAGCAAAATGGCGAAAACGTGAACGATTCCCCCAAATTCCTGTTCGACCCCCTTGTGTACCAGGTTCACCTCATGTGTACCGTGATGCTCCCTCATATGCTAACCCAAATCCTGGTCACTGGCCTTCAACAACGGCTATGACAAGACCACCGCAAAAGTCCCCGATGGCTCCATACAATCCGCAAATATCCCCAGTGCTTAATCCTAACCGAGGGGTTATCAGATCACCAACATCAAACTCTCCCCAGGCGTTTAATGCCACAAACATCCAGGGTAGTCCAGTTGCTCACGTGATCACAATGTCGACACCGTTGACGTCATACATGTCCGCCAGCCGGGGGGTGATATCAAGTCAGGCTGGTCATCATCCGGGTATGATGAATAATAATATGGCAGCATTGAGTCATAAGCCTCCACATTCACAGCAGATCAATACTTCACAGCCGCTCTCTCATGCGCCAAGCGGAACAATCATTAATGGTGGCCATGGGCAGATCATGCAGGGTCCAGTTCATAATCAGGGTATGGATGGTAACCCGGACATCGATAGGAAGAGTCCCGGATTGAAAACATTACGTATGAAAGCAAAGGAACATTCTGTTGCCATGGGAATGGTTAGAAATTATCAGCCATGCTGAATTATCGTTATGGTGAAAACTTTAGTTGAGCTGAATTACTTGAAGGGGTATTCATATGGAAAATCCCAGGGGGACTTTACGCTGCAATTTTGATGGAAAAGAAAATTTCTAAACTACTTTAATACTAAATTTCGGTCGAAATTTAATACCTAATCCCTAATATAATAGAGTGGAATTTGAACAAATGCCTAAGACTCGACGAGTCCCACCCAAATACACCAAAAGTCGATGTTAACCATTCGCATGAATTACAATTGCTTTAAAGACACTGTAAAACATTTTACATACTCATACGATTATTTGTCAATCAATGTTATTTTTTGTTAGTATATGATTTATTAAATTTATGAATATATTGCTTTTAGTATTTAGTTAGTTAAAAAAATTGCCATTAACGTGCATGGTCCACTACAGAAAATTTTCTTTAATTTTGAAAAATATAGAAATCTGTTCATGCAATATTGGGTGCCAAGTTGCTCTGGGTGAAAAAAGACTTGTAGGAATCTTCTTTCACTATAGTTACCAAGACCAGACACACCCAATGGTGAGAAATAGACGATTTTATTTATTCTTTATTTTTTTATTTTATTTTTTTTTAACTTTTCCAATGAACATGCTGTACATTTACATAAATACAGATACAAGACATGGATATAGAAACACACACATACGGATATACAGAAGTGGTTAGGTGCACGCTACAGCTTTCGCCAATTACAGCGGCCCTATACAATGATAAAAACACAAACTAAAGACCAATTTAAACGGATGACAACACATCAAACAAAATTATGACAACAACTTTTTTGATTTGTTCGTTAGATAATCAATTTCTTTTGTTTGCTCGAGGTAAAACCCTAATTAATAAAACTTTTTGTGTAATCTCCCGTTCTTTCTTTATTTTTTTGGAGTAAACATTATACATTTAAGTTTGCATCTCTTGAAACGGAATAAATCATGATTAGTTTGTAGTGGACCATTGTTGACACTTTACGTCTAAACATTATCGTTTTAAATTTAAAACGTCCTTAAAATGAGATGGATTTCAAGTTTTACTGTCAGAAACTGAGTGCAAAGATGCAAAAAATCCTTGTTCAACACGTGTATGAATTTATTTTTTTTGACAAATAAGTGTGGAAATAAGCCATTACACGAGAACGAGGCTTCCGGTCATGGCCTGGTAGCCTCATTTTGTATGATATTCTCTGATTTTGAAATTCCCTCTCCGCTAATAACGCTTTTAAATCGAATCGTGGCTCCATTGTGTTTCCCCAGATTACTAATTATAAAAACTTTTCAATTTTAGATATTTTTTGTAATGTTGGAGAGACGTAATTCGTATTATAAAGCATCGTTTTTTCTACACTCGTCAAATTTTTGTGGTAAACCGCCGCAGCTGGGCCTTAAAGGCCCATTTCCATTGCAATTTTAGATGCGATTTTCCTCTTTTGATGGATGTGAATGAGTGACTATTTACGAATGCTCTGATGTGTGAGAGCTCTTACTTGAACATCCGTAACTAATTCACTCGTTCACATCTATCAAAAGAAAAAAATCGCACATATAATCGCAGTAAAAATCGCAAGTGGAAACGGGTTACGGGGGATTTGATTAAAGTACCGTGCGTGCCCACCAACGGCGTTTTTTAGCTGAGAACCAGCACGCGCTAGAGTTCTGGGACAGCACGTGCAGAAAAACTACAATTTCGTGATGTCATAATTTAATCTGTTCTCTCCCGGAAAAACCTAATGTAAAACAAATCGATTGCATGGAACTCTTCTCAATAAATCTCTGAAAAAACTCATGAAAACATGAGAACTTGAGAGGCTTGTATTTAGGAAAATTTTTAAGATGTTGGGGAGGCCAAGAAGTTCCCGAAAAAGTGTCGATTTTAATTTATCAGCGACAAACAACATGTACACACATCCTTCAAAAACCAGCGGTAGTTCTAAGGACACGTCGCAAACGAATTGCAAAATGGAAAAAGAAAACAGCTTACGATATAAAATTTTCGTATCACATGTCTTATCTGGGGCGCAGAACGTTCGTTTCGAAGCCAAGTGTGTACAACAGTCAGAACTTATTCAAAAATCTTGTAAAATCGACGAATTCTGTAAAGATATATTGAATAAGGGTAGAAAATCACCACAAGAGGATACAGTAAGTCTATTGTACTTGAATCTAGATAATAATGTATTTATTATTTTATACTTTGGAACAAAATATTTGAACAGATGAACAAAGGAGAGAGAACATCGCAAAAATAGGTGTTTATGAGGTATTAACCAAAAAACTAATCACTGGTTCACAATGGTACATTTCTGTATTGCTATCAAAAAGAAAACTATTGAATAACTGTTAAAAAAAAGTGATGAATACGCGTTCTGCAATCTTTTGACATCTTATCATACCTATAAAGGTTTCCAAGAATTCGTCCGTAAGACAGGTGTGGACACCAAACTATTCCCGGATTACGGAAAGGTGTTCGTTATCCCAGAGCGATTGCATTAAAAGGGCAAGAAAGCAGGGTGAGTTGTTCTTTATGAAATCCCCCTCCCCCTGAATATATACTAGGCTCTTATAAATAGTGGGGGAAGTAAACCTTGCACGCTTGATATTAGAGAGAACTGCGGAAATCTTTACATGGAGCTAATTAGTTAATATATTGCCTGTGCAATTGAAATTCGTTCTTGTGAATTTATTCATTCTGTCCTGTCTCTGCATTGTGCCAGAGAGGAAAAATATCGCAACACTCATGCAACTGTGATGAAAATGCAACAGTTGACTAAACATAGAAATTCATTTACATAACATTTAAATTTTATCGGCACGCATGATACCATACGAAGAACATGCGAGCATGAAACACTTCCTTAAACATAGGTAAGCTGAATGAAACAAATCCTAAACAATGTGTGATTTCAAAGCTTCCCAATCTTTTCGATACACCTTGTAGTTGTATTATATTTAATGTATTATGACTATTATCATATCATGCAGTGGTTACATATATACTGTGCATACAGTGGCGTACGGAGACGATAATTGGGGGGTGAGGGCACATATTTATATATAATGTATTCATGTTAACAGACCTGTAAAGACAATGGATTTGAAAAGAAATTAATCTTGCACAACATGAATATATTATTCCTCCCCTCCATTTATCGTCTCCCGTACGCAACTGTGAGTTCGTGATCTGCGATTTCCAGCTGCATAAAGATAACATCCGAAGAAGGCCGTCAGATTTGAAAGTTGCCTCTATATTTGAGGTTGCAAAAATCAAAAGAAACGTTTTCGATCCAAAAAAGTTTCTTTTCTTAAATCTTGAATCTGACTGAGCCCCTGTTAAAACTCAATCACCTCACACTCTAGAATCTGCACCTAACCAGACAAGAATTTCAACTGCAAAACGACGCCTCTATCAACATCAAACCAGCAAGTATGGTTCGTGAACAAAGATACAGCATCGGCCATTTTGTCTTCGAAAAGGATCGCGAAAAAGTTTAGTAGAATACCCAGAAACAAAACTCATGAACTGCAAAAGTCGAGTTCAAAACGAGAGTTCGTTCAAAAAGTTCCAAAATTTACAACAGTTCCAAATGAGTATCAAAATCTGTGTAGAAAAAATCCGTTAGCGAAATTATGGACCTTGATTCTTATGGAAAAAGACCTGGAAAACTTCGTAACAGGTAAACATGCACATAAAAACCACTGCAAATGGTAGACAAATAGTATGTTGTATCCATGGCCATGCATTTAGCCACAGGATTTTTATGCTTGTGTCTTCTATGTAATTATTTTACATTTTTGTCTTCAATCTGAGCCCCATTATTCGATTTAAACCTATGGAGTGTCAATATATTACATTATAAAATAACATTTATATAACGCATATTCTGACTGCTCGTCAGGATCAGGCCATCCAAACACGGAAATTTAATTCCCTTTTTGAAATCAAGCTTGGAAAAATGCCTTGTTAAATTGTTGTTATTTTATAAAACAATTTCTTAATGATTTTCCTTGTTTAGATGGCCTGATCCAGATACTTGGGAATGTACGTCTCTTGAATTAAGAAAAGCTCGCCAAATCACTCGCCTTCGGCTCGTGTTTCGTGCGCTTTTGTTAATTCCCGCGTGTTTGGATCAGGCCATCCAAACACGAAAACCATTACTGAAGTAATTGCTAAACTTAAATAAGATACATTTATACGAAATGAATGATAACTGTCGGTGTATATAGTTACAGTGTAAGAAAAAAGACAGTGGAACCACCAAAGTAAGAATTTTTGTGTGGCTCATGGCAACATGGCTATATTATTACGCAAGGCATTCACCACGCATATTTGCAGCCGGTCAATTGTATCTTTCAACCAATCATAACATCGAGCTGACGAACCGCAGCCAGTAGCTGATAAAATATACAGTGCTTCTACTGTTCACTCTACACAGCTCTGGTATGGTAAGAAATCACCAAAACAGTGGCGCCAGAAGTATTACAGGCCAGCGCGGGGACAAAATCTAAGAAATTTAAAGGGCACATTCATTTTAGCAACCACTACTGAGAGGAAACTTAGAGTTACATTTGGATCTTCAGATCCTTCTTGAGAATTTTAATTCGAAGAGCGGGCATCTTAAGGCCCGTTCACCATTTTTTGCCGCCATTTTATGCCCGATTTTCTCCTTTTCATAAATGCGAATCAGTGAATAAGTTGCGGATGTACAATACATATACTTACACATCCGAGAATTCGTAACTAATCACTCGTTCACATCTATCAAAAGAAGAAAATTGCACATAAAAGCGCAACAAAAATCGCAAGTGTAAACGAGCCTTTAGGCCTATAGCTAATTGAAACGATCCACCTCTCCGCACGGCTTCAAAAGACCAGGTGGATGATGATCTATTGTTGTAAATCTATTTATTTCATCACACGAGATCTATCTTTAGGGAATTGCAAAACCACAGTAAGAGAATATCCACGCCGACACACGAAAACGGTTCGAACCCAGGCGCAAAACCGTTGGTCCAATCGAGGTATAGGAAGGATGAAACAAGGAAACCAAAAGAGAGTGAGAAGTCTGGTTCTTGTGGACTAACCAAATGTTCACAGTTTACCAGGTCAACCCCAACAGGCGAAAATCATCAGGTAGGGTATCCGGAGTTGAGTGTCTTCCCTTCCACTAATAGCTTAGTCAAGGCGGATTTAGCATACTTATATATACAGTAGCGTATAGCCAGCCTGACAATTTGTCCCGCTATGCTAATATTTTAGTGTTCATTGACTGTGAAAACAATAAATTTC